GCACTGTAGCCTATTTTACAACTACTAGAAAGTTAAAAAAATTTATGATTAAATGCTCAAACTGGGACACCATGATCAAACTTTTGCTTGATCCATACAAATTTATGAGCAGGAACTTGAAATTCCCACGGCAGTGTATTTGCCTCCCAACTGTACGTCACTTATCCAACCCAAGACCAAGGAATGCTGCGCTCTCTAAAAGTGGAAAATTCAGTAATCTGGAAGGGCTATGGAACCACAGGGTCTGGAAAATCGATGTTGTACCTGTATAACTAATTAGATAATCACAAAAAGGTAATGACATGTTAAAACACACATTAAAATTGCCAGAATTTATTTGTAAATTTTGTTACATATGTCTAATACCTGTATACAGTATACAAAAATATATTGATGGATGTATAGTATATGGAAGTATCAGAGTTAGGATTATAAAACAAATCTTCTGTCAGTGATTTGCACTTAGGATGTCAGCAACATTTTATGTGCTATTATAATAGAGTATATTCATGGAAAGTACTCTACCAGAATCATACACACTGCTATATGGCAGAGCTAAAACACGATAGGAAAGGAGAGGTAGTGCTGTCAAGTGAAGAAAATCAGTAGAAAGAAAATGGATGGGACTCACATTTAGTTTAATGAATTGGAGTCGGTTAAGAAATTGCCAAGAGTCTGCACGAAAGGCAGGACTGTTAGAAAGAAGGGCAGAGAAAGGGAGCATATTAGGGTGTGGAAGATGTTTGAAATGATGTTACCATACTGTCTCATGAGAAGATTTTTGCCTGACATGACAGCTTGAGAATTCTCAGAATAGGGCTTGGCTGCCATTCATGAGAAAATCATGTATAACTATACAGTGTCCCATACTCATGCATGCTAGTACTGTGTCTCACAGTACTAGCATGATTAAACTGTGTCTCAGTTTAATCCTGACGCAAGTCACACTTAATAGCCCATATTCTGATAATCTTTTGCTTACTTCACTTACCCCCACATTAGACATACATATCTTATATTATCTAAGTGGAGTTTCAGTTTTTACCTGCTATAAAATGCATCTTTACTTGCATCTCTGTAAAAATATATATATATATATATATATATATTTTTTTTTTTTTTTTTTTTTTTTTCAACAAGTCGGCCATCTCCCACCGAGGCAGGGTGACCCAAAAAAGAAAGAAAATCCCCAAAAAGAAAATACTTTCATCATCATTCAACACTTTCACCACACTCGCACATTATCACTGTTTTTGCAGAGGTGCTCAGAATACAACAGTCTAGAAGCATACACATATAAAGATACACAACATATCCCTCAAACTGCCAATATCCAAACCCCTCCTTTAAAGTGCAGGCATTGTACTTCCCATTTCCAGGACTCAAGTCCGACTATATGAAAATAACCGGTTTCCCTGAATCCCTTCACTAAATATTACCCTGCTCACACTCCAACAGATCGTCAGGTCCCAAGTACCATTCGTCTCCATTCACTCCTATCTAACACGCTCACGCACGCTTGCTGGAAATCCAAGCCCCTTACCCACAAAACCTCCTTTACCCCCCCTCTCCAACCCTTTCGAGGACGACCCCCTACCCCGCCTTCCTTCCCCTATAGATTTATATGCTTTCCATGTCATTCTACTGTGATCCATTCTCTCTAAATGACCAAACCACCTCAACAACCCCTCTTCTGCCCTCTGACTAATACTTTTATTAACTCCACACCTTCTCCTAATTTCCACACTCCGAATTTTTTGCATAAATATTTACACCACACATTGCCCTTAGACAGGACATCTCCGCTGCCTCCAACCGTCTCCTTGCTGCTGCATTTACCACCCAAGCTTCACACCCATATAAGAGTGTTGGTACTACTATACTTTCATACATTCCCTTCTTGCCTCCATAGATAACGTTTTTTGACTCCACATATACCTCAACGCACCACTCACCTTTTTTCCCTCATCAATTCTATGATTAACCTCATCCTTCATAAATCCATCCGCCCGACACGTCAATCCCAAGTTCTGAAAACATTCACTTCTTCCATACTCCTCCTCCCCAATTTGATATCCAATTTTTCTTTTTCTAAATCATTTTTACACCCTCAAACACCTTCTCTTTTCTATGTTCACTTTCAAATTTCTACCTTTACACACATTCCCAACTCATCCACTAACCTTTGCAATTTTTCTTTAGAATCTCCATAAGCACAGTATCATCAGCAAAAAGTAACTGTGTCAATTCCCATTTTGAAATTTTATTCCCCATAATTTAATCCCACCCCTCTCCCAAAACACCCTAGCATTTACTTCCTTTACAACCCCATCTATAAATATATTAAACAACCATGGTGACATTACACATCCCTGTCTAAGACCTACTTTTACCGGGAAGTAGTCTCCCTCTCTTCTACACACCCTAACCTGAGCCTCACTATCCTCATAAAAACTCTTTACAGCATTTATAACTTACCACCTATTCCATATACTTGCAACATCTGCCACATTGCTCCTCTATCCACTCTATTATATGCCTTTTCTAAATCCATAAATGCAATAAAAACCTCCCTATCTTTATCTAAATACTGTTCACATATATGCTTCAATGTAAACACCTGATCTACACATCCCCTACCCACTCTAAAACCTCCTTGCTCATCCGCAATCTACATTCTGTCTTACCTCTAATTCTTTCAATTATAAACCCTAACCGTACACTTTTCCTGGTATACTCAGTAAGCTTATTCCTCTGTAATTTTTACAGTCTCTTTTGTCCCCTTTCCCTTTATATAAAGGGACTATACATGCTCTCTGCCAATCCCTAGGTACCTTCCCCTCTTTCATACATTTATTAAACAAAAGTACCAACCACTCCAACACTATATCCCCCCCTGCTTTTAACATTTCTGTCATGATCCCATCAGTTCCAGCTGCTTTACCCCCTTTCATTTTACGTAATGCCTCACGTACCTCCCCCACACTTACATTCTGCTCTTCTTCACTCCTAAAAGATGGTATACCTCCCTGACCAGTGCATGAAATTACTGCCTCTGTTTCTTCCTTAACATTTAAAAGTTCCTCAAAATATTCTCGCCATCTACCCAATACCTCCATCTCCCATCTACTAACTCCCCTACTCTGTTTTTAACTGACAAATCCATATTTTCCCTAGGCTTTCTTAACTTGTTTAACTCGCTCCAAAATTTTTTCTTATTTTCATTAAAATTTCTTGACAGTCCCTCTCCCACTCTATCATCTGCTCTCCTTTTGCACTCTCCCCCACTCTCTTTACCTTTCTTTTTACTCTCCATATACTCTGCTCTTCTTATAACACTTCTGCTTTGTAAAAACCTCTCAAAAAGCTACCTTTTTCTCTTTTACCCACACCCTTACTTCTTTCATTCCCCCAATCACTCCTCTTTCCCCCTGCCCCCACCCTCCTATAACCAAAAAACTTCTGCCCCACATTCTAATACGCATTTTTAAAACTATTCCAACCCTCTTCAACCCCCCACTACTCATCTTTGCACTAGCCCACCTTTCTGCCAATAGTCGCTTATATCTCCCCGAATTTCCTCCTCCCTTAGTTTATACACTTTCACCCTCCTCTTATTTGTTGTTGCCACCTTCCTCTTTTCCCATCTACCTTACTCTAACTGTAGCTACAACTAAATAATGACCCGATATACAGTTGCCCCCTCTAAAAACAGTACACCCTGGAGCCTACCCATCAACCTTTTATCCACCAATACATAATCTAATAAACTACTTCATTACGTGCTACATCATACCTTGTATATTTATTTATCCTCTTTTTCATAAAATAAGTATTATTTATTACCAAATTTCTTTCTAAAACATAGCTCAATTAAAGGTCCCCATTTACATTTACCCCTGGCCCCCCAAAATTTTTACCTACTACTCCCTCCATAACATTTTTACCCACTTTAGCATTAAAATCCCCAACCACCATTACTCTCACACTTGATTCAAAACTCCCCACGCATTCACTCAACTTTTCCCCAAAATCTCTCTCTCTCTCTACACTTCTCTCTTCTCCAGGTGCATACACGCTTATTATAACCCATTTTTCACATCCAATCTTTTTTTTTGCTCCACATAATCCTTAAAATTAATACATTTATAGTCCCTCTTTCCTGCCATAGCTTATCCTTCACATTATTGCTACTCCTTCTTTAGCTCTAATCTATTGAAACCCTGACCTAACCCCATTTATTCCTCTCCACTAAAAACTCTCCCACCCCTTCAGCTTTGTTTCACTTAAAGCCAGGACATCCAGCTTTTTCTCATTCATAACATCCACAATCATCTCTTTCTTATCATCTGCAAAACATCCACGCACATTCAGACTTCCCACTTTGACAATTTTCTTCTTCTTATTCTTTTTAGTAATCTTTACAGGAAAAGGGGTTACTAGCCCATTGTTCCCGGCATTTTGTTGCTTTTACAACACGCATGGCTTTCGGAGGAAAGATTCTTATTCCACTTCCCCCTGGATATTTAAAAAGGGAAAAATTAATAAGACCAAGAACTATTAAGATAAAATCAAAGAAAACTCAGATGAGTGTGTATAAATAAATGTTGTACATGTATGTGTAGTGTGACCTAAGTGTAAGTAGAAGTAGCAAGACATGCCCGAATTTTTGCATATTTATGAGACAGACAAAAGACATCAGCAATCCTACCATCATGTAAAACAATCACAGGCTTCGTTTTACACTCACTTGGTAGGACGGTAGTACCTCCCTGGGGGGTTGCTGTCTACCAACCTACTACCTTAAAATATATATATATATATATATATATATATATATTATATATATATATATTTTATATATATATATATTTATATATATATATTTATATATAAAATATAATATAATATATATATTAAATATATATATTATATTATATATATATTATATATATATATAATATAAAATATATATATATATATATTTATTTTATTCCCCATTCTTAAATTTTTGTATTTTAAACTGCAGTGTTTTTTTATGTGCAGAAATGTACCAGTTTAGTGAAGTCTCAGTATATAGTTATTTTTCAAAAAACAATAATTCAATGCTTTCACTTCATCAGATGATATATTCCAACTGGTCACACTACCAATGGATCGAATGTCACTGCAGAATTTCACCAAGTGCTCAATAGCCATACCAGTGAACTTTTTCATTACATTGCTACAGTTTTTAACATTTTCTACAGACAATGTAATATTCCTCAGTCTTTTCAAAAGGGGAGCAATTCTACCCACAAAATCATCGTCTAATTCAATATTACAATTATCATCTTTATCTTGTGCAACAAGTGTTAAAGTCTGAATGTAGGGACTACCTTTTATACACTTGTAGAAAGCTGCTGCATCAACACTGTGGACTCCAAAGAACTGGAGGGTGTGAAGTCTTGAGAAATTGGGAACTTGGCTGTTGTCCTTTTCGTATGGTGCAGGGTCAATCTTCATCAAAACTTTGGCATACTCCAAAAATGGTATAAGCATATCCAGTGATTTATGAGGTTCATATTCTATTTTATTTCTACCACTCATTCTTGCCACAGGAGGAGACGGATTTCTTACTGGCCGTTCCATGGGAATTTGGTCTTCACTAAGGGCTACTGCTTGCATCCGAAGTGCTGGGCAGGTTAATGTCAGTGATTCCAGTGATCTACAATTCTCTGCAATATCACACATGTTTGAAATTGACAGTTCATGCATTAACTCCATATCAAGTGTGTGAAGATTTCTCAAATATGGCATCATATCATCAAAGGTGTAGCTGCGATAATCATCAGGAGATACAGTAAGGTGTCTCATGTTGGGAAAAATTTCAAGCGTAACTGGAGGCAACAAAACATTAAGAACAATATTAACTTCTGTCACAAAAGGCAAGTGTACTTTCTTTAACTGTTTGTGAGAAACACAGATTACACTATGCCCTCCAGTCTTACCATCAAATTTCTTAAGTTTTAACATAATAGGAGGATGCTCCATCTTGTTAATTTTCCATAATACATAAAGCAAAGAGACTCCCTTGATCTCCTCCATATCTGGAGCATAGAGAAGCAGTCTGACTATTTCGTCAAATAGTGTGTTTTCTTCTTTGTCTTCCCACTTGATATCTGGTAGTAATAGCGTTTTTAAGTACTGACAGCCTATTACAACACCTTCATATTTTGTCTGTGACAAAACAGAATTTCCATATAAGCAACGCAATGCATCAAGAAAATCAGCCTCTTCATAATTTCTCGTCCCATCCTCATCCACTGCAGTTTCCCCGGCATTCATTTTCTTTACACAATATCTTTGCAAATTAAAAAGCTCACCACTTATATCTAAATGCCACAGGTTAGGGCAATGACAACATATAAGAAACAGCAAGTCCCCATGAGCCAAATTTTGCAAACTTAAGCTTGTAAGATTTACCAACATATTTTTATAGGCAGCAAGTGTACATGTAAATATCTCCCTTTTCTTTTCCTCCATTTCCATAACAAATATATTATTTTTATAGGTACCATGCTTCATAAGATACTCAGCAAGTACCATAAAGAATGTATTTGTCACTGGACTAATATCCAGAGTTGAAACATTGGGGTACAATATACTTTTCATAAGAAAATGAAAAGCCACTCGAACTCTAGGGCCAAATGACCATTTGTCATCCATAAAGTCTTCAATTTGGACTTCGTCATATACAATGATCTTAGCAACTGAAGCAAGTACTCTATTAAACACATCGTTTAAAAATACTGCAGGCACAGGTCCAAGATATTCACGCAATATGTGGGGAAAGTCACCATGATTCTTTAATAGCTTCTTCACACTTTTTAGACGAAGTGTTGCCTTGTAGGAATTTCTAGTAGTGGCAGAGACATTGCCAGTAAATAATTCCTCAAATCTTTTTTTGGCAAGTTCTCTATGGACCTCTTCTTCTGCTTTTTGCAATACATCATCTGCAGATTCTGTCAGGTGGGTAGCTTTAGTCATCATCATTTCTACATTTTTGCACACGGCTTTCAATGCCAATTGCAGTAAGCACTCAGGCAGATTCAAAGCTGGCATCTGTGGAAAGAAAATATAAAGAATAAATTCTTAGGAAGATGTGAATAATTAGATGAATTGTGACTTGATAATGGTATAGGATGAACTGAAACACCATCTGTGGTTTCATTATAAAAGTGTAGGTTATTTGTGAATGCTCATGAAAACATAAATTAATATCAACTATATGCTATTCCTCTGTAGGATGGGACAAATGTACAATTAATATTTGTGAAGGGATTAAGGGAAACCAGTTAACCAGACTTGAGTTCTGGAGGTGGGAAGTACAGTGCCTGTACTCTGAAGGAGGGGTGAGGATATTTGCAATTTGGAAGAGAATCTGAACTGTAATATCGGTGCATCTCTGGCAAGACAGTGATACGGAGTGAATGATGGTGAAAGTGATAGAGAGTGAATGATGGTGAAAGGGTAACTTGTGATATCATTACATACTGGCCATATCCCACCAAGGCAGGGTGACCAAAAAAGAAAAATTTAAGTTTTTCTTTTTAAATTCAGTAATTGCTGGTTAAATATCTCTACCAAAGTGAAAAGTGACCCAAAAAAAGAAAAATGAAATATTTACCATCATTCATTCATTAGCTGTTTGCCAGCAGTGTGAAAACATCAGAGTTTAAATGACACTCGGAACTGAAGCATCCCAATCTCTCTTTCAGATTTCAGGGACTAAATGGGTAAAAATGTTGTAATACAATATGATGTTTGCATTCTTCTGGGAAGACATCTATTAGATGAATGATCGTAAATGTTACCTTTTTTGGGTCAGCCTACCTTGGTGGAAGATGGAAAGCAGGCAAAAACATGAAAAAAAGTAGGCAACTTTATAATCAGCTCATCTGCTCACGATGTGCATTTTTTTCTCTTAACCCTTAAAATGTTCAAACAAATTTACGCTCACATGTGTAGTGCTCCAAAAGTAGATCTACGTTTTTTTACATATTTTCAAATATAACAAAAAAAAAAAGTAGATATAAGTTTTTTTACACGTTTTCAAATGAAAAAAACAGAAAAGAAGATCTACTTTTTTTACATACTTTCAAATGTTGAAAGAAACGTAGATATACGTTTCAACTACAGTGCATAATACCTGAAATGTATGAAGAGTCACTTCAGTTTTTTAATTAGAATAGTTTCAAATACAGCATAGTGCAAAGATTACAATTTACCTTTGGATATGTGGATGTTTGATTCCCCAATGAGCAGTAAGTTACTTACAACACCAACAATCACCTTAATGCATTTCAAGCTTTTGCTGTATTTTATGTAACTTTTGCACTGTACACTTACATTGTATAGCACTGCGATGTCCCTGTGTATATTGTACACGGTAATAGTGATGATCAGTTATCTGGTATAAGCAGCAGCACATTCAAGACTTGGTTCCCAACATTAGAATTACCGATGTTCTTCTGTAATAAGAAAGATTAACATCAGTGTGAGTCATTTCTAAATGGTGTTTCTTCAAATTTCATCTATTATTAATGATCTCATGATTCTTATTGGAGATAGGTTGCAGTTTTTAATTGTGGTGTAGACATGCCTCTGGCAAGGCAGTGATGGAGTGAGTGATGGTGAAACTGCTTCTTCTTTTCTGGGTCACCCTACCTTGGTAGGAAACAGCCGATGTGTTCATAAAAACAAAAAGTTCTCTATTCTCATGCAACATAATCTATGGCAGGTACATAATTATGTTCATGGGGAAATGCTAAACTGTTGAGGGTAATAATGTCTGGGATATTGGAGGTAATCAGGTTTGATCCAAGAAAGACGAAGGTATCTCCAATTCCTCAAAGCAAAAGCCTTCCACTACACATACGTACAACCTTAAAATTCTGAGACATATACCCTGGCTACCTTCAAGAGAGAGCTGGACAGATACCTAAAGTCAGTGCCGGATCAGCCAGGCTGTGGTTCGTATGTTGGACTACATGTGGCTAACAGTAACAGCCTGGTTTATCAGGCCCTGAGCCACCAGGGGGCCTGGTCATGGACTGGGCTGTGGGGGCATTGACCCCCAAAATGCCCTCCAGGTTGAAATAAGTCATTTTGTCTGATTTTCTTGGGTTATTCTAGGTAATATACACATATCTTAAATTAAAATTATGTATGATAATTGTACTTATGTGTACTTGTACCTAAATAAACTTACATTATTACTAATGTTAAATGTTTTGAAAGATCTTGGGCTGATATACATAAAACATTTCATATTAAGACTCGATAGTCTATGTCTAATTCCTAAGTGGTCTTTAAGTACAGTGGAACCTCAAATATCGAACTTTCTTCGGCCCAGAAGTCTGTTCGAGTGCCTTTACCGAATGAATTTATTCCCATCAGGAATAATGTAAATTAGATTAGCCCATTTCAGACCCTTAAAAATACACTTATAAAAGCACTTACAAAAATACACTTACATAATTGGTTGTGTTGGGAGCAGTTCGATTTTTGAGGTTCCACTGTATTAGAATTAGTTTGCCAGAAATGCATTTCCTTACTAGTAGCTTTCTGTTGTGCACCTTTGTCAGTTAGTTTATTTAGGTACAGGTACACATAAATATACAGTTATCATACATAGTGTAAATTACCCAGGATAACTTATACTATATACAATAACTGTACTTATCTGTACCTGTATATAAATAAACTTACTTAGGTACAACAGAAAGCCAGTAGCTTAATAATGTTAAATTTATTACATATAAACTATATTATCTTTGTACAGCATGAAAGAAATAAAAATTGGATTTTGAAAATACTGTGATTAACCAGGGGCTTTCTAGAATGTATGCCAATTATGTTAGATAAAGTAACTTATAGGAATAATTAAGTAAGTTTATCTAAGTACAGTTTTTATTTTTATTATCACACTGGCCGATTCCCACCAAGGCAGGGTGGCCCGAAAAAGAAAAACTTTCACCATCATTCACTCCATCACTGTCTTGCTAGAAGGGTGCTTTACACTACAGTTTTTAAACTGCAACATTAACACCCCTCCTTCAGAGTGCAGGCACTGTACTTCCCATCTCCAGGACTCAAGTCCGGCCTGCCGGTTTCCCTGAACCCCTTCATAAATGTTACTTTGCTCACACTCCAACAGCACGTCAATTATTAAAAACCATTTGTCTCCATTCACTCCTATCAAACACGCTCACGCATGCCTGCTGGAAGTCCAAGCCCCTCGAACACAAAACCTCCTTTACCCCCTCCCTCGAACGTTTCCTAGGCCGACCCCTACCCCGCCTTCCTTCCACTACAGACTGATACACTCTTGAAGTCATTCTGTTTCGCTCCATTCTCTCTACATGTCCGAACCACCTCAACAACCCTTCCTCAGCCCTCTGGACAACAGTTTTTGTAATCCCGCACCTCCTCCTAACTTCCAAACTACGAATTCTCTGCATTATATTCACACCACACATTGCCCTCAGACATGACATCTCCACTGCCTCCAGCCTTCTCCTCGCTGCAACATTCATCACCCATGCTTCACACCCATATAAGAGTGTTGGTAAAACTATACTCTCATACATTCCCCTCTTTGCCTCCAAGGACAAAGTTCTTTGTCTCCACAGACTCCTAAGTGCACCACTCACCCTTTTCCCCTCATCAATTCTATGATTCGCCTCATCTTTCATAGACCCATCTGCTGACACGTTCCACTCCCAAATATCTGAATACATTCACCTCCTCCATACTCTCTCCCTCCAATCTGATATCCAATCTTTCATCACCTAATCTTTTTGTTATCCTCATAACCTTACTCTTTCCTGTATTCACTTTTAATTTTCTTCTTTTGCACACCCTACCAAATTCATCCACCAATCTCTGCAACTTCTCTTCAGAATCTCCCAAGAGCACAGTGTCATCAGCAAAGAGCAACTGTGACAACTCCCACTTTATGTGTGATTCTTTATCTTTTAACTCCACGCCTCTTGCCAAGACCCTCGCATTTACTTCTCTTACAGTACAGGTACACATAAATATAGTTACACAAATTATCATACATACTAACATATGTGTAAATTAACCAGGATAACTCAAAAAAGTCAGTGATTTATTTCCATTGAAGTCCTTGATTTTTTTATTATTTACACCTCAAAAGTTAAAACATCTATGTAACTCACATATATACTTTCTAGAAGCAAAATATTACAAACATCATAATGACTATCACATTCGTAGGGAGCACTAAACCCATAGGAATCAGGCCAGGATTGAAACCTTGGTACGCCTGGAAAACATTAGGACATGTTTTCTCAAAACATCTGCTGTCCATGTTCACCTAGCAGTAAAATAAGTACCTGGGTGTTAGTCGATTGGCGTGGGTCGCATCCTGCGGACAAAATTAACTGAATTTCCCCGAAAGGCTCTACATAACCAGGGACTTTCTATATAGCACATCGTGGCCTAGTGGCTAAAGCTCCCGCTTCACACACGGAGGGCCCGGGTTCAATTCCCGGCGGGTGGAAACATTTCGACGCATTTCCTTACACCTGTTGTCCTGTTCACCTACCAGCAAATAGGTACCTAGGTGTTAGGCGACTGGTGTGGGTCGCATCCTGGGGGACAAGATTGAGGACCCCCAATGGAAATAAGTTAGACAGTCCTCGATGACGCACTGACTTTCTTGGGTTGTCCTGGGTGGCTAACCCTCCGGGGTTAAAAACCCGAACGAAATCTTATCTTATTGATGTCAACTATGGTCTGTATAAGTTGCATCATGTACTTGTAGAAATAAAGATTATTATTATTATTATTATTATTATTATTATTATTATTATTATTATTATATTAATGCTTCAAGAAGGGGAGGTAATATGATTAATATCCATGGCTAGAAAGGTTATATATTTTGTAAATTATATTATATGGCTGTGAAGGGCTCATGTTAAAGCCTGTTATAGCATGAGCCAGTTCAAAAAGAAAGCTGGCACTGGACAAGCACCTAAAGTCGGTACCTGACCAGCCGGGCTGTGGCTCGTACATTGGTTTGCGTGCAGCCAGCAGTAACAGCCTGGTTGATCAGGCTCTGATCCACCAGGAGGCCTGGTCACAAACCGGGCCGCAGGGGCGTTGACCCCCGGAACTCTCTCCAGGTAAACTCCAGGTAATGAAAGCTAAAAAAAGATACCTAATTAATGAAGCTACAGAAAGGTACGTGATTAATGAAGCTACAGAAAGGTACCTAATGAATGAAAGTACAGAAAGGTACCTAATTAATGAAGCTACAGAAAGGTACGTGATTAATGAAGCTACAGAAAGGTACCTAATGAATAAAAGTACAGAAAGGTACCTAATTAATGAAGCTACAGAAAGGTACCTAATAAAAGTACAGATAGTGTTTTCTTGTCTAGTTAATTCATGTACCTATTATTGTAAGCTGATCCTCTAATGATAATTTAAATACCTCAGTTTACCTAATTCCTCCTATATCTCCATTCATTATAACTAATTATCACATAGTTTCTTACCTATTTTACGTTTTAAGGTTTAAATAAGACATCATAAGGACCCCAATGGAAATAAATCACTTGGTCTCATTTTTTTCGGGTTTTCCTGGGTAATTTACATATATATTACTAATTACTATGTATAATAATCTGTGTAACTGTATTTATGTGTCTGTGCTTAAATAAACATAATTTATTACTTACTAAAAGTATATACAAACTCTTATCAATTGTTGTTGGGGTTGTTAAGGGCCATCAAAACGTAGGTCTAATTTAGCCCAACTAATTGTTGGGGTTGTTAAGGGCCATCAAAACGTAAATCTAATTTAGCCCAACTAATTGTTAGGGTTGTTAAGGGCCATCAAAACGTAGGTCTAATTTAGCCCAACTAATTGTTGGGGTTGTTAAGGGCCATCAAAACGTAGGTCTAATTTAGCCCAACTAATTGTTGGGGTTGTTAAGGGCCATCAAAACGTAAGTCTAATTTAGCCCAACTAATTGTTGGGGTTGTTAAGGGCCATCAAAACGTAGGCCTAATTTAGCCCAACTAATTGTTAGGGTTGCTAAGGGCCATCAAAAGTAGGTCTAATTTAGCCCAACTAATTGTTGGGGTTGTTAAGGGCCATCAAAACGTAAATCTAATTTAGCCCAACAAATTGTTCGGGTTGTTAAGGGCCATCTAAACATAGGTCTAATTTAGCCCAACTAATTGTTGGGGTTGTTAAGGGCCATCAAAACGTAGGTCTGATTTAGCCCAACTAATTGTTAGGGTTGTTAAGGGCCATCAAAACGTAGGTCTAATTTAGCCCAACTAATTGTTAGGGTTGTTAAGGGCCATCAAAACGTAGGTCTGATTTAGCCCAACTAATTGTTAGGGTTGTTAAGGGCCATCAAAACGTAGGTCTAATTTAGCCCAACTAATTGTTAGGGTTGTTAAGGGCCATCAAAACGACCTCCTGGGGTCCAGAAAAAATATTTTCCCCCATATATGAGCGAAATGTGGAGAGGAAACGAAGGCTGTCTAGGTGACTAAAATTCCCAAAAAGAAAGTAATGATGGTAGTAGTAATCAGTTATTATATGTCCTCTAGTCTATTAAACAGCTGATAATCCATGAAATATTACTGCTTGAATCAATGGAAATTAAGTATATGTCTGACTTTTTTGGGTTATCCCAGGTTCTCTGCACATATATGTATATTTCTGTATACCTGAATGAACTTACATAGTTACCATTAATTGTAATATTGCTTTTATTATGTGCATCTTCAAGATTATTATTCATATATACCTTCAAGATTATTATTCATGTGTAAGAATGGTATATAATACCGACAAGATGATGAAATTAAGACACATGTGTCTTAATTTCAACTTCATTATTATTCATACATACCTACCACTTTTATCTTGTCTATATTTAAGTAGTTATTATGTACTAGGCCTAATTAGTCTGCCTGAAATACCCGGGCATGATAGTGATTTTCTTTGTTTACCTGGAGTTTACCTGGAGAGAGTTTCGGGGGTCAACGCCCCCGCGGCCCGGTCTGTGACCAGGCCTCCTGGTGGATCAGCGCCTGATCAACCAGGCTGTTGCTGCTGGCTGCACGCAAACCAACGTACGAGCCACAGCCCGGCTGATCAGGAACTGACTTTAGTTGCTTGTCCAGTGCCAGCTTGAAGACTGCCAGGGGTCTGTTGGTAATCCCCCTTATGTGTGCTGGGAGGCAGTTGAACAGTCTCGGGCCCCTGACACTTATTGTATGGTCTCTTAACGTGCTAGTGACACCCCTGCTTTTCATTGGGGGGATGGTGCATCGTCTGCCAAGTCTTTTGCTTTCGTAGTGAGTGATTTTCGTGTGCAAGTTTGGTACTAGTCCCTCTAGGATTTTCCAGGTGTATATAATCATGTATCTCTCCCTCCTGCGTTCCAGGGAATACAGGTTTAGAAACCTCAAGCGCTCCCAGTAATTGAGGTGTTTTATCTCCGTTATGCGCGCCGTGAAAGTTCTCTGTACATTTTCTAGGTCGGCAATTTCACCTGCCTTGAAAGGTGCTGTTAGAGTGCAGCAATATTCCAGCCTAGATAGAACAAGTGACCTGAAGAGTGTCATCATGGGCTTGGCCTCCCTAGTTTTGAAGGTTCTCATTATCCATCCTGTCATTTTTCTAGCAGATGCGATTGATACAATGTTATGGTCCTTGAAGGTGAGATCCTCCGACATAATCACTCCTAGGTCTTTGACGTTGGTGTTTCGCTCTATTTTGTGGCCAGAATTTGTTTTGTACTCTGATGAAGATTTAATTTCCTCATGTTTACCATATCTGAGTAATTGAAATTTCTCATCGTTGAACTTCATATTGTTTTCTGCAGCCCACTGAAAGATTTGGTTGATGTCCGCCTGGAGCCTTTCAGTGTCTGCAATGGAAGACACTGTCATGCAGATTCGGGTGTCATCTGCAAAGGAAGACACGGTGCTGTGGCTGACATCCTTGTCTATGTCGGATATGAGGATGAGGAACAAGATGGGAGCGAGTACTGTGCCTTGTGGAACAGAGCTTTTCACCGTAGCTGCCTCGGACTTTACTCTGTTGACGACTACTCTCTGTGTTCTGTTAGTGAGGAAATTATAGATCCATCGACCGACTTTTCCTGTTATTCCTTTAGCACGCATTTTGTGCGCTATTACGCCATGGTCACACTTGTCGAAGGCTTTTGCAAAGTCTGTATATATTACATCTGCATTCTTTTTGTCTTCTAGTGCATTTAGGACCTTGTCGTAGTGATCCAATAGTTGAGACAGACAGGAGCGACCTGTTCTAAACCCATGTTGCCCTGGGTTGTGTAACTGATGGGTTTCTAGATGCGTGGTGATCTTGCTTCTTAGGACCCTTTCAAAGATTTTTATGATATGGGATGTTAGTGCTATTGGTCTGTAGTTCTTTGCTGTTGCTTTACTGCCCCCTTTGTGGAGTGGGGCTATGTCTGTTGTTTTTAGTAACTGTGGGACGACCCCCGTGTCCATGCTCCCTCTCCATAGGATGGAAAAGGCTCGTGATAGGGGCTTCTTGCAGTTCTTGATGAACACAGAGTTCCATGAGTCTGGCCCTGGGGCAGAGTGCATGGGCATGTCATTTATCGCCTGTTCGAAGTCATTTGGAATTAAATCAAGGACCCCAGTGGAATTAAATCAAGGACCCCAGTGGAATTAAATCAAGGACCCCAGTGGAATTAAATCAAGGACCCCAGTGGAATTAAATCAAGGATCTCAGTAGAATTAAATCAAGGACCCAGTGGAATTAAATCAAGGATCCCAGTGGAAATAAATCAAGGATCCAGTGGAATTAAATCAAGGATCCCAGTGGAATTAAATCAAGGATCCCAGTGGAGTTAAATCAAGGCTCCCAGTGGAAATAAGTCAAGGATCCCAGTGGAAATAAATCAAGGATCCCAGTGGAAATAAGTCAAGAATCCCAGTGGAAATAAGTCAAGGATTCCAATGGAAATAAGTCAAGAATCCCAGTGGAAATAAGTCAAGGACCCCAGTGGAAATAAGTCAAGAATCCCAGTGGAAATAAGTCAAGGATCCCAGTGGAAATAAGTCAAGGATCCCAGTGGAAATAAGTCAAGGATCCCAGTGGAAATAAGTCAAGAATCCCAGTGGAAATAAGTCAAGGATCCCAATGGAAATAAGTCAAGAATCCCAGTGGAAATAAGTCAAGGATCCCAGTGGAAATAAGTCAAGAATCCCAGTGGAAATAAGTCAAGAATCCCAGTGGAAATAAGTCAAGGATCCCAGTGGAAATAAGTCAAGGATCACAGTGGAAATAAGTCAAGAATCCCAGTGAAATAAGTCCAGGATCCCAATGGAAATAGATCACTTTTTCTGATTTGGGGGGGGTTATCTTTGATAATTTACACTATGTATAGTAATTGCACTTATGTGTACCTGTGCCTAAACAGACTTACTTATTTACTTATTTACTGGCCCGGTGGCCTGGTGGCTAAAGCTCCCGCTTCACACACGGAGAGCCTGGGTTCAATTCCCGGTGGGTGGAAACATTTCGACACGTTTCCTTACACCTGTTGTCCTGTTCACCTAGCAGCAAATAGATACCTGGGTGTTAGTCGACTGGTGTGGGTGGCATCCTGGGGGACAAGATTAAGGACCCCAATGGAAATAAGTTAGACAGTCCTCGATGATGCACTGACTTTCTTGGGTTATCCTGGGTGGCTAACCCCCCGGGGTTAAAAATCCGAACGAAATCCT